TTGATAGGCTCTGTAGAAATACTTAAATTATTAATACTTGATCAGATTTTGAATTCTTTATTTTCAAAGGTTTAAATGTATCTTATATTGATACTGATTGCCTGATAAAGATTTCTTTCTTTATATTTCAGTCTTTTCAGAATTAATTTATCTTGGGATTTTTATTATTAATACAAATGTCTATACATTTTATACCTATAAATTACTGTAAAATTTACTGTAACTTTTAAATTACTATATATTTTATGCCCATAAATTACTACCAATTTACAAATGACTTTAAATGTTACACCTATAAATTATACAATTGCTATGAATTACATTATATTAAGGCTTATACAGTTTACAAAATCATCTTACAGCACCAAAAAACTAATGACTTAAAAAGGATAAACTGTTGACCGAAATATATTATATGTGTGTGCATGTGTGTAAAAATTCAGATGTAAATAAAATATTAGAAAATAAATTACATCATTTAGTCTCCCTCATAGTTTACCTTTCCTTACAAAGTTGGTTTTAAGAATATCTTAGAGTGCTTTTTAATTTGTAAAATTTGATATTTTTCCTCCACTTCTGTTTATAAATATAATTTGCAAAATAAAATCTCTAGATTTACCTTGATAAAAGGAATGAAATGCATTGATAAAGAAAATTTTTCCTTTGGTCTTTATATATATATATATATATATATATATATATATATATATATAATATCAAACAAACCAAACAGTCTTTGTTGCTAAAGTGATTATCTATTCTTAAATCCAAACAAACAAATGTAACAAAAACAAAACAAAAACTAAATTTCTTCTAACAAACCTGTTGTTCCTTTGAAATAAAGAGCATTTAGTATATTTTATAGTATATAAGATTCTCCTATCTTTACGTTTAACATAACAGTATTATTGAGTTAGTTAAAATCAGTCAGTTATGTACCATGCATGATACATGCTTAAGCAATCATGTATCTTTCAATACATGACTGATGAGGCAGATTTTTCCCTGTGGTAGACCATTTGCTATCCAAGGCTATAGAACCCTGTTTGTCCTGCTATTTACCCATAGCTGGGGGGAGAAGAAGAGGGTTCATACCTTTCCCAAGGGTATTAGTACCTAAGTGAATGTAATGGATTAGACTGGAATTTAAACTCTGCTCTCCAATTCCCCAACTGAACTGCTATCCATTACTCCACCTTGCCTCCTTTAGTTAAAGTACTAGAGGGAAAACAGTGAGTAATTTACCTAATTAATTTGTGTGAATGGATAGCAGAGCAGAGACAAAGATGGATGGATGGTAAAGAATCAAGCATTGCTTAGAACTACAATGGACTGGATGTTGTGTAGAGCCCCGTCCTGAAGGAGCATAGGGAAAGTGATAACAACTTATGAGCTTTTGTGAATGGATAGCAAGACAGAGACAAGGAAGGATGGTAAAGAATCAAAAGTTGCTTAGAGCTACAAGGAACAGGAAGTTGTGGCAAGCCATGATCACCCATATCCTGGTAAGGAAACTCTAAGCAAATTAACTAATGAGTTTGTGTTAATGTATAACAGAGCAGAGACATGGTAAAGAGTCAAGCATTGCTTAGAGCTACAAGAGACAGGAAGTTGTAGAAAGTCCTGATCACCTACATCCTGAAGGGGCATAGAGAAACAGCAAGCAACTTACCTAATAAGTTTGTGATGATGTATGGTTGTGCAAGGACAAGGAGGGGTGGTAAAGAATCAACTGTTGCTTAGAGCTAGGCGAGTCAGGACGTTATGAAAAGCTATGATTGCCCTATGTCCTTTCAGGACAGATACCTCAAGTTCTTAAATAAGACTCAGAATATATTTTTAACTATATCTGTATAGAAAAAAAAAACTTATGTCATCAAATATGTTAGTTGTGTTTTTAATTCCTAGTAATGCTTACTAATTATTCCACAGAATTTATGCTTTAATTTTTTACCAATGTTCCAACAACATCTTTACCATAGATTTTAATAGTTATTTGCAGGTATTTCTTTGTAGTGGTATTATCAATGAACCAGTTTAATCCTCTTGAGTCCTGAAGAGGTCACTAGTAAAATTATAGGAAGTAAAGTAAGTTACCATTATTCAAAAAAATTAACCTTGGGATCCACTTTTAGTATACTACTTCTTCTATGTGTCAATTCATGGCTCTCTGCAATTTCTTATCCATTGTAGTTTTTAGTAAAGTTTGTCTTTTTATTATCTCTCACAATCTCTGTTCTGTCATCCATTCACATAAGCTCATTACATAGGTTACTTGTTGTTTTCTGTCCCTTTTGCCTTCAACGTGTCCTTTGAGTCTCAGATTATCCAGGCCTTCTTTCTTCATTTTTTGCCATAGAAACTTCAACTATTTCTTTCTGATTTTTCTTTATGTATAAGCATCCTTTTTGCTTCCATTTTTCTTAATTTCCTCGTTGATTACATATTCAATTCATTTCATTCTCAGTATCCTTCTGTAGAATCACATTTCTGTTGCCTCATGTTTGAGTAGATTGTCCAGTATTCACTGTTGTAGGAGATGACTGATATTACCTAAGTTTAATACACTTTTCCTTTATTTTTAACAAAAGTTTCCTATTTCTTAATACTTTGCTTGGCTTTTGAAAGGCATCTTTTGCTATTCCAAAGCACGTTCAAAATTTTATTGAGTTATTCATAAACAAGTGGATCTTGTAAAAAAACAAGTATGATGGTAACCTTTTTTTTATTGTGACTAGTAAAGAAGGTATTGGTTATTATGAGAGAGAAGTTTGTTTAAATACTCACTTATTTATTCTTTTCTTTGCAATGTCAGTAATAAGGTATTTTGTCAAGATATCTCACAATGGAAGAAAATAGAGAGAAAGGTAAATCTATGCCTTTCCAAGAGCATTACTGTGGAGTGAACTTAAATAGTTTCAGTCAGAATTTCAACTGCGATTCACAATTCTAAGTTAATGCAACAACTTTTATACAATGGTGGATATATAAGAAGTTAATGGATTTTATTCATAACCAAACATTATTTCTTATTACTTTAAATATTATATTTAATGGATAAGTAGACACTGTTTAAAAAAAAACAGGGTTATCTGCTCAAACATATATAACCACTTAAAGTGATAAGAAATGATAAAGATCTATAAAGCTTAGTACTTGGCCATATGTCTTGTGGATCCAATGAAGAGCAAATTCACTTTTATTGGAAAAGTGTGCTATACTTACGTGCTAACCATTATACCATAGGGATGTAGCCATTTTATCCTTACATTTAGATATTTAAGCAAAATACATTTTTGTTTTTTGTTTTCGACGAAAGAGAGTTCATCTTTGTAGGACTTTGATTTAAGAGAAGGTGAGTATGTCATTCTGTCAAAAGAGACCCTTTGTTGTCTCACAAGAAATTGGTTCATTAGCAACTGTGTATAATATGAGCATGGTTGAACAGAATCAAGGAGGGACATCCAGGTGTGTTAGTGCTCCATTCCGAGGTGTCTGTATGTCTATTATGTCTATCATCCAGGTCAGTGACTGGTGATTCCCCATTATAAATAGACTATCATGGAGATGAGAGAGATCTCTGTTGGGATACATTGTACTGTATGTATAGTTGTGATAAGAGAAATGAACGACAAAGTGGATACAGGGAAGAAAACAATGATAAATGCCAAAGAAACCAGTGAAGAGGGAAGAAAAGCCCAATCTGAAGTTACATCCCAAAACAGAGTTGCTAAATTCTTTTGAACACAATAACATAAACAGTTTAGTCAGTAAATATAAGACATGTTTTATATTTATTGTGCAATATATTTACTGTTTGTTCAGTTCAATTCTGATTTCTTTTATGCAACTTCATAATTCCTTTTTCCTATAACTTTTTCTCAGCAAAGCCAAAAAAATTATACTCTTGCTGCTGTTTTCAGAGAACTGAATTTTTTCAGGTAGGCAATTCTTTAAATACTAGAATAAATGGTAATCTGAAGTTTCAATATCTGGAGATTAATTTTTTATGGCTTATCAACCCTTTGTGGGTTATTTAAAGGCAAAACACATTTTGGATTGAAAGAATAATTATTTTATTGAGAGTGAATATAGCATTAACAAATTTATTCAGAGATAACAATTTTTCCAGATACAAGTCCTACTATTTAACCCTTAGGTGGAGGGATAAGATGCATTCATACCTTTCCCCAGGGTGTTTGCATTTAACTGAATGTAATGAAACTGACTAGAATTCAAACTTGGATCTCATGACAAGCTGCTATCTATTACATGACCGACATATCCTTCAGTATCTGGGGAAGATGACAGATGAGCAAACCTTCCCGGGAAACTGTAACAATTCTTGCATGGACACCAATGAAGCATGTGTTTAGTTAAGCATTATCATGAAGGCATATTACACTCTTTAGCTAATTCAGTTATTATCCGGTTCATACTCCTCTATGGCCTTTTGATCAGAAGTAGAGGTTAATCCCTTATTTCCTGTTTAGGATTGGGTTGTCAGTTCATTCTAAATTTTACTTCAACTCTGTGCTTTTAACATCTTCACCTTAACTCTGAAATTTTATTTACTTTTTTCCTCCTTCAGTAGGTGTAGATAGTTTGCCTATCATCTTGTTTACACTTCTCTCTTTTGAACAGGAGTAGAGGTTTATCCCTTGTTTCCTGTTTAGGATTGAAATTCTGGTTCCTTCTAAAGTCTACATTTTCACTTCCAGTTTTTGTCTTCATGGCATTATCACCTTGCTTGGGGTGAACAATTTGTTTCCAAACAAAAACTTTTATTAAGACACACAAAAATTTATTTTAAGTTATGATTTTAAAGATGTTAACCAGTTATGATTTCAGTGTAACAGTATTATTTTTAGATCTTAATATGTTGACATGCATTCTAATTTCTTTCTTTTTACACTGCAACTTTCTGGAGAATGCACTGATTGGCTTTCTTCAATTGTTTGTAGTATCTTAGAATGTCAAGCTTTTCTCTGAGAGACCATATGCTTACCATGTTATATACATTGCAACTAGTGCCTACATCTATGTCATCTTGGTAGGATTGTTCCCTCTTTCCCAAATCTGCTAATTAAATCCATGACCTTTCAGTGAACTTAGTTAACCTCACTGACATGTTTTGGCAACAACAAACTAATTGTATTTTTTCTTATGTTTTGTCTACTGATCAAATTGATGTTTGAAGATTAATGGTTAACTTTGAAGAAAATGAAATTAGTAAGCCAAGTTCAAATTACAGCTGAGACAATTTATATTCACTTTAGGAAAGTCATGATTCCATCTTTCTCTCTATCTCAGCTATGAGTTAATCGGTAGGGTGGACTGGTTACAAATCAAGACGAGAGAAACTAATCTAGGAAAATGACATTCCTGAATTCAAAAATTTGGGGAAGGCACCAAGAAAAATCACTCCACTATCTTTCCCAAGAACAATCTTGGAAATTTTTCAGTTTACGGAAAAATAAGTTATGATCACTTATGTTCTGAAAGGACATGGTACTCAAAGACATGTGTAGATTCCTTTAAATTTCTTATTCCTACCTATTGATTTAATTCCATGAAGGTTGTTATATCCCCATCTACTTCCATGCATGATTTTAAAGCTTTCTGATGTTCTGATATTAATTGTTTAAATAGCATATTTTGCAATCTTTATCCTATTTTTGTATCCATAGGCAAGGAATTGGCAAATCATTTCTCTGATGCTCCTGAAATAAAATGTCATTGGATATGAACTGCAATTGTATCACCTGAAGTGATAACCTCTTTGATAATATCATTTTTCATGTCACACTTCCTCATGGCTTATATTACAATGTTTTTTCTGGGAATTTTAATCATCTTTTAAAGCTGCCAATTTTACAGTCTATCTCAAAATCTGTTTGCCATTTCAAGCTGGGACCTATGAAGCATATAAATAACATTGCTCATTTTTAAAGTTAAATCTTTTGCACTTAATTTATTGATTTATTCTTCCTAATTATAAAAATAAGAAGCAGTAGAAATTATTAAGACACTTTTTGCTTGGAAGGGAAAAACTTTTTCTTTTTTTTTTTCTTTTTTTTTTTAAAGTTCAGTCTCATCTGTCTAATTATTTTGAGCCTCCCTTGAGTGTTTTCATTTCCTTAGGAAATAATCAATAACTTATCAAAATATTTCTGTCAAAAAATATGCCAAGAGATCCCTTTTAATTGGTGTAATTCTTTAAGCTGTAACTTCTTTTACTGAGGTATACACAAATTAATATCCATACCTTGAAGCTATGTGTTATCCAAGAAATATTCAGCCCTTCAATATCTCTTTTAATTATACACCACTGATACCCCTGTATCAAATACTGATTATAATTTATAATTCTTATATTCATTAATAATGAATATCCAAAAAGTATTATCCATTTCTGTCTGAATTTCTGGAATGAGGGTTCACAATTTTCACAATTTAGTCTTGTGATGATCACAACATTTTGACTGTTGTGCTCTTTGGCCTTCATCAGATGCTTGTTGATCCAGTAACTTTCAGGGAATTTTGAGCTGAACTCTTGGGCATAGATTATTCTCATTTCACTGACCCTATTTAGGGATATCTTGTCAAGTTCTTATTTAATACTGCTCAGTTATTGCTTGCTCTGTATCTACCAAATCTAAGTTTGCACTGTCCAGTAATTGAACTCACAATTACTATATCACCAAATTTAATTCACTAACACAACACACTTTAATCTAATAGGCTAAACACTTAATTTACTCTCCTAGTGGATTAAAATATTGGCTTGTAAATATGGTGAAATCATAATTGTGAGTTCAATCCCAGTAGAGACTTAGATTCAATGGAAACAGGGTGAGCAGTTACCAATCAAAAATAAAGTAGGAACTAGATGAGATATCTTTAGACATGAACAGCAGAATAAAAATACTCTACCCCTATAGACTAAATAAAGGATTCAGTTAAAAATTCCCCGATGTTTAACTAGATCCAAAAGCAACTGATGTAGGTAGAAGAGCACAACAGCTGAAACATGGGGATAACAACAACAAAGATGATGAAATGATTAATATGTAAATAACCAAGTATTCATTACTGAAACCTTAATAATATCTCTAAACTTGATTTCACTTTTGAATGTTAGATAATCTAATAGTATTTTTCATGTTTTCCATCATTGTTTATTATTATTCTTTATCAATTATGTATAAAAAATATCGGCATTTTCATTTTGCTCATCAGATTTTGCATTAATCATACAAAAATATTTTAGAATCTGTTTTTGTGTGTGTGTGTTTCTTTCTTCATTTATTGTTGCTGTAATCTTTATATGACTTGAAACTCCCTACTCTTCAAATGCTGTATTCTCTTCTACCATTTTAGCTAATTAGAGTTTTCGTTTATAAATTTAGAAAGAAACGTCACAGCTGGTTTAACATATTTTAGGATTTAATCATCAATGAATTATAAAAAAAATAAAATCTTTAAAAAATAGATTTTCTCTTTATCTTTCCATTTTATAATTTCAGTCTTATATTCTTGTACATGTGATGCACTTTCTGTACATTTAATTATCCAATGAAATATACATAGATTTATGCAAATAGTGGCAACACATGGTTGAAATGGAAAGTCCCAATTAATAAGATTGGATTTTTTTTTTAATACTTTGTATAAGTCCTATTGTGTAAATGATGTCCAGGTCATTTGGTACTTGGTTATTAATTTTTTACATAATAATGCAATAAAAAAAATGCCACAGTATTCTTTTAATTCTGGTTGATTATTTGAGTATTTTAAATGTTAATCATCGTGAACAAGTTCGTTTAGAGAAAATAGTTTTTTTACTTCCTCTATTCTTCTCTCTTCATCTCTGCTTTTGTTCCTGCTTACCTTCTCTCCCCTCACCCTTTCTCTTTCTTTCCTTCTTTCCCCCTCCTCATACTTTCTTTCTCTCTCTTCTTTTCTTCTTCCACTTTCTTCTCTTTTACCCCTCTGCATTCTGTTTCTTTCCCTACCTTCCCCTCAAGCTTTCTCTACCTTCTCTCTTCCTTTATTTCCTTCTCAATCTCCCGCTTTCTCTTTTCCTTTTTGATCTCCTGCTTTCTCTTTTCCTTCTCACTCTCCCGCTTTTGTTTTTCCTTCTCACTCTCCCGCTTTTGTTTTTCCTTCTCACTCTCCCGCTTTTGTTTTTCCTTCTCACTGTCATGCTTTCATTGTCATCTGTCTGAAAGGTATTGTACTCATTGGTTCTATAGAAGCGGAAGACTTTATTGATGTTGATGACTTGTATTGTCTTTTAGATATTTTTTAAGTTCAACCTAGTCTGAAACAAGGCTATGAAAGTGGATTATCCATTGAGAACCAAACTGATTAGCAATATCTTACAAAATGTGCAAGCTAAACTTACTTCTATAGCAGACACCTTTTAAGTATTTATTAAGCTATTCTGGGAAAAGTTCATATCAGTGGCTTGAATTCTTGATAAAAATGACTGTTAATAATAATTTGTTAATCATCACTTTCATTTGCACCCTTGCAAGCTCAGTGAGTGAAGTGGATTGTCATCAGAAGTAGAAGTACATACTGGCATTTGGAACAATAGTCAAATGTTATCAATACTATAAAATATAAAACAAAACAAAGAGAAAGGAATATACAAGAAAAGTAAGAGAAGAGATTGTGAAATATTTAATTAATGATGAGTAGAATTAATAACATTTTCATAGTTGCTATAGGGTAATGTTGACAATGGAAATAATGGTACATTGGGGAAATTGCTTGGCCTCAATACAAGTCTTCACCTCAATGAGCATGTTTCTATCCTAATATTTGTTGTGAGTGCTGTATATGCAGATTGTCATTATCTACAACCAGATAAGCTCTTCACTATCTTAAGAGTTCTCTCTGCACGTATTCTAAACTTAGGTTATCCTTTCTCCTAGGAGAGAAATGCTTTATGATTTATGGTTGTTTGGCATGAGATAATGTACCATCAACCTCACATTCTAGATTCAGTACTTTAACAACTGACCCAATGTTAGGTATTCTTCTATTTCCCTGTTGCTTGTGTTTCAAAATCACTTTGATATGTTCTTTGTTCGTAGATTATGTCCCTTCAATACATACATGATCACAGTCCTCTACAGCTTTCTTTTGTTGCTCTCATTAATATTTTATTTTTTATGACCCCCACTTTTTAGTAACTGTTTCTACATGCACTTGCAGAAACATTTCAAGTTGGCTACTTGAATTAACCTTCTGCATTTCATGTCTTTGATATATAGGCATCCTTTGATTAATGCATTTTTGATTTGTGTGTTAAAATTTTTATATAGCAAAATTCGATTAGTGCATACATAATACTCAATTAGTGCAGTAAATTATTAAGTTTAACCATAGTAATTGAAAATTGATTTTTATTATAGTTACCAATGTACAAATTAGCCACACTAATCGAGGGATTCCTGTATTGTGTGTTAAATTCTCCAAGCCGTTTTTTCTCATTATGTGTCCTAAAAATATCAGCTGTCTTTTTCTGATTGGTCAAAAGAGTTTCATTGAAGTTTCTATTGCCCTTAAAACTTTCTCATTTGTCACATGCTTTGTTTATGGTATTCTCAACATTAGAATCACATCTCGGTTACATCAGGTTTTTTTTTCTTCATTCTTGAAAACTTGTCCTGCATTCACAGCCATATAAAAAAAATTGCTATGAATACTTGCTTTACTGTGGTTATTTCTGATAAGAGTGTACCCTGAAATTCTTTTTACACGTTTCTGCTTTCCATCTAAGTAGAATAATAGTAATCTATTATTGACCAGGTTGGCAGCTGCTTTTAGCTTCTACTGATTATTACTACCTCTATCAGCAGCACTACTACGATGACAGTTGTTGTGACAATGAACAAACACAAACACAGCCACACAGACAGTGACAAGCAGGACATGGTTTGCTATGTTAGACCAACATTGTACATGTATCCAGCTGTGTGTGTTGTAATACTTCCTTCAGAGTGTCATTTGGACGTACATATAAAAACTAAAGCAGCTTAAGGTTTACTAGTAAATATATATGTGCTTACAATTTTAAACCTTGATAGAACTATAATTACTATAACAACAGCCATTAAGTGTTCTTTCTTTAACAAAGAAAGAAAATACCTGTCTTTGCTTGTTGCATATAATGTTTTGATTTAATACTGTATCATGAGTGTATTTTTAAGTAATGGATTACAAGTAGTACCTGGCTTAGATAACATCTCTCTTCATTTGCCTGGAAAATATTTACCTTGGACTGAATTGTATTAAAAGGTAAGAAGTCCACATCAGATAATATTTGTACATTTTGTCTTGTAATGTGTTTTTTATCCTATTTATTTTTAAAGAAACACATTGATTTATTGGAGAAAAACTTCCTTTGTTATCTGACATAAAACAATATTATGTTCCTTGGTGCAAGTTGGGTCCTATCTTCAGCTGAGGATTGTTTATTCACAATTAATAGCTGGCAAAAAAATGCCCATTTCTATCTTGCTTTTTATAATTTTAAAATTTCCTATTTTTTTTTAAATTTTCAATGAATAAAGATACACAGTGTTCACTACAATAGATAAAAATATTTAACACTTGCGCATACACACACACAACTTATATTTAGAAAAAGTAAATACTATATTTGATCAATGATAAGAATAAGAATTCCTCTGACATTTTTCATTTCTTTATACTTGTCCTTTTTAATGTCAACTAAAACAAGAAAATTTTATAAAAGCAAATACCAACATTATTATTATTAAATTGTTTTTAATCATATTCTATATGATATATACCATAGTGAATAAAGAATGCAAATAATTACAATATTGAATCAAATTAGTAAAGTCTTTTTGGCAGATGTTTTGAAATATTTTGTGTACATGTAAAATATATATATATATATATATATATATATACATACATATATATATATATATATATATATATATATATATATATATATATATAGATAACTAGACTCGTTTCGAAAAACGTATGATTTTAGCTATCACCTATAAATATGTGTTTCTCTTTGCCTCGTTAGCCAAACTTTCCCTGACGATCCGTTTAGGTGAAACCTAGGTAGGTTTGTCTGGCTCACTAGGTGTATCTATATATATATATATATATATATATATATATATAGTCATAGTTCTTTTTCTCATAACTAGTGTCTTAAGTATTGACCTATTTGACTTAAAGTGGAATATAAAAGCTAAAATCGCAGAACATATATAAGAATTTGTCTGAAAAAATAATAGGGGTTTCTGGTTTATGAAAATGCTTTAGATTGCAAAAATAAATTCTTGTGCCAATGGATGTTATTTATCATAATAATGGTAAACAACATGATGAATGAAAATAATGTTCATGAAAAATAATAATTTTCTGTTGTCATTTTAAAAACAAATAAGGAATGTAATATTTTTAAGTTTTCTCTAAATATGATAGGATTGTTTATAGAAAATTATTAATATTAGGTTTTATCTAAAGTTCTGTATAACATTTTTAAATGCTATCGAAAAAATTTTTTATTTTGCAATAATAATTACTGCCACTTTAAATTTATAATTGCTGATAATTTTGGGGGTGAAGAAAATTAAATATATTGCTATATTAAATTCTTTTTATTTTTCACATAAAGTGTCACAATATAGAATATATAATTATCAAGTATAGAATTCATATATGGAACTCAATTGCCCATATGAATATATAAATTTAACAATTTTAGCATGAAAACACATGACTTATAAAATCTGACATATATTGTAAAGGATTTGCTATATAAAGGAAGAGTGCACAATATACGGGATAGTGTATGTAGATTTAAATTATATGCACCAAATTTTATACAACCATATGCACTCAAATGAGAGTGTGCTAAAAAAATTTGGGGGGGGGAGGCTAAACTACTTCCCAACATCTATTTGTTAGTTTTTTTAGGGTTTATTGGTTGGGCCCAAAACCTTTCATCACCTTATATTATAGTTGAAATTTTCTATATTTAATATTTGTAAGTAATAATTATTTGATAAAATTCTTGAAATCCTAGGAAAAGTGTTATAGAATATTTGAAAGCCATTTTTTTTTAATCAACATTTTATAAATGAAAATGTTAATTTGCTTCTTTGTACTCACAAAGATAAACAAAAATGTTTAATTTCATAACCAGGATAAAATGGTGCTTCAACTTACTCATTTTGTAGATAATGATTGTTTTGAAAAGAATTTCAAGAATTTAAATCAGTTAATCATTTTATATATATATATAGATATATATATATATATCTGTCTGTATTTCTGAGATGAGGTATTATGTACATTACAATAGTCTGAATAATGTAAATAATATATATATATATATATATATATATATATATATATATATATATATAATGGGGGGGTTAATGTGCATCAAATAGACTAACTTGGCTTCAATGTTGGCAAAATTAATTTGCTCATGTTTTTTTCTTTCAATGTTTAAACTGAAAATCTCCAAAATATTCTCATATTTTAATTCAATGACACACAATGATAATAAACATTTTAATAATTCTTTTAATAATTTTATAATCAGCACAATAATAAACAGCTTTATAATGTTTTTTTGAACTTGCCCATTATATTTCCAGTAAGTTCATTTGCCACCATAAATTAATTACTGTGATATTTGCTAAGCTTGGCTTAGTATAGCACAAAGCCAAGGATAAAGAGGAAGACTGTGTTATATCACTCCTTCCAAATAATGAATGTCTACCTTGAAATCCCTTCTTCTACCTGGGTTTGAATAGCAATCTCTGGCACTGTTGAAAATCATTTAAGGAAAACTTTCCAAATATTAAATATATTTACAATCCTACTTCTACTTTTAATTTCATATTCAAAGATAGATTTCCCCTGAAGTTAAGCAACATCAAGCCAGGTTAGTACCTAGATTGGTGACTGCTTGGCAAATACCCTTGAAAAAGGTATGAGTCCACTTGTTCGCACCCTGGTTATAGATTAATTAGTAAGATTTATATCACAAAATTATTATTATCTCAAAATAAAAAATTCCTACAATCTAAAAATATTTTTAGCTTTAAATAACCTACAAAGGGTTGATAAGCCATAGAAAACGAATCATAGATTTCTCTTGTGGTTATTATTGCAATGTTATCTGCCTCACTGACTTCCATTGTCAAATGTG